ATGTCCCTCTGTCTGCTCTCTGTTTTTCAGTTCCTGAAAATGTAGACAATGTATCAGTGCTGAATCGAAGAGTTAACAGTTTAACCCTGGAGTGGCCCAAAGTCAACGACATCTCAACATATAAACTGGAATATAAAGAGAATGGAGCTACTGTTGTGAACAACATCAATAATGCAGCTGCTGTTATACAACATGTGGTTTCTAATCTGACTGGTGCAACACAATATAGTTTCTCTCTTTTCACTGTGTTGAATGGAGTCAGCAGCTCTGGATTCTCATTCTCTGCTGCTACAGGTTGGTGATCTGTGAATTTTCTCTCATTCCCAGTTGATCAGTGTATCAGGAGCATCAACTCCTTTTGTCCACAATTAATGTAAATTCAAGAATCCATATTCTTTGTCTGAATATCATTTTGCTGTGCAGGTCTGACTTTTTCACATTTCTACTTTGTCTCTGTCTGTTTTCAGATCCTGGAAATGTGGAAAGTGTTTCAGTGGTGACCCAGACCACCAGCAGTTTAACTCTGAGGTGGAACAAATTTAACGGCATCTCAACATACAGACTGGAATATGAAGTCAATGGAGCTCCTATCTCTAGGGACATCAATGCTGCTGCTGGAGAAACAGTACAATATGTGGTTCCTAGTCTGACAGCTGGGACAGAATTTAGTTTCTCTCTTTTCACTGTGTTCAATGGAGTCAGCAGCTCTGGACTCATATTTTCTGCTGCTACAGGTGATTTCTGATTGTTAAAACGATAAAAGGTGGATTGAGAAAATATCAGTGTGAAAACAGAAACTAATTAACCTCACATGTTTAACATGTTTAACATGTTTAACATGTTTAACATGTTAAACATGTTTAACATGTTTAACATGTTTAACATCAAATCTCAGATTAATCAGTTTAACAACCAATTTAATGTGAAACATTTCATTTTGTCTTTAATTATAATGTCAGATATCAGTTACATTGTTTAACCACAATGATTCAAACTTATAGATTTAGATATAAAATTATTTTTTGTTTAACCAAGAATTGAGTTTCTGGCAGGAAATGAGACAGACTGATTTAAAAGGTAAATAAAAATGAATCTAAAGTGTCAGAAGTATTGATTTAAATAATAAAATATATTTTTATTTTATTTGCATTTTTAATATTCACTAATCAATTTAACAAACTTTGTAAACATAACTAATAAAATCATTTTTATAATTGCTGACCAGCTTTTTGCATGTTACCACTTATATTTTTATAATTTAATCTAATCCATTGAGGACAGAAGGCCTCCTTAATTTCACCCTAATCTTAAGGATTAACTCTGAAGCATCAATATTGTTTCAGCTCATATGTGATAAAATGATAATATTACTTCAAAGCTGTTTACATTAAAAATATGAATAAATATGAAATTAGTTTATTTTTTGTTTCTCTCTTCTCTGTTTTCCAGTTCCTGAAAACGTAGCCAGTGTTTCAGTGGAGACTCAGAGTGTTAACAGTTTAACTCTGAAGTGGGACAAAGTCAACAGCATCTCAACATACAGACTGGAATATGAAGAGAATGGAGTTCCTGTCTCTGAGAACATCAGTGATGCTGCTGGAGAAACATTTGTTCAACATGTGGTCTCTGGTCTGACTAATGGGACAGAATATAGTTTCTCTCTTTTCACTGAGGCCAATGGACTCAGCAGCTCTGGATTCTCATTCTCTGCTGCTACAGGTTGGTGGTTTATGATAGTAAATGAGAGAAAAGGTGGATGAGATTACAGAAATTATTCATCCTCAAAAACAATAGTTATTAACTCCGTCATAAGTTAAAGATAATTGACATCAAATCTCAGGAATCAGTCGACATCGACACATATAAACATTTTGGTAAATCTTTATTTGAAGGGGGGTGAATAAGACTGTCATAACACCTGTCATAAACATGAATAAACCTTCATGAATATTTATGACTGTTGTCATAAAGAGTCATTCAGTAAATTATGACACTTTTAATACAAAGTTGACATTATTCAAAATGTCTTTGTTATGACAACTTGACATTAACCAAGAAATCATTACTGATATAAATTTGTTATAAAAGTTTTACTGATTGCACTTTAAAAATGAGGTAACTTTATGTTATTAAAGGTAAAGTTTAAACAGTAATGATTTCCTGGTTAATGTCAAGTTGTCATAACAAAGGCATTTTGAATAATGTCAACTTTGTATTAAAAGTGTCATAATTTACCGAGTGACGCTTCATGACAACAGTCATAAATATTCATGAAGGCTTATTCATGTTCATGACAGGTGTTATGACATGTTTATGACAGTGTTATGTTAGTCTTATTCACCCCCCTTCAAATAAAGTGTTACCAAAATTTTTTTGTTTTCACTCTAAATTATGATGAAGTGGTCGGTTACACAGTTTAGATATAATTATTCTGGTAGATTTACATTTTAAATGTTTTTCATTCAACCTAGAAATTTATTCTGATAAGAAATGAGTCAGGCAGCCTATGGATAATAAAATATATCAAAAGTATGTAGATTATTAAATGAAAAACCATTTTATTTGCATTTTATGAAAAAAAATCAATAATCAATTCAGCAAACTTTATCAGCGTAATAGCAACAAATGCTTTCTGTTATATTTTGACAATCTGTGGTTATGATCTCCATATCTTTGAGGATGGAAGGCCTCCTTGCCATCACCCTCATGAATTCATGTCATTTTCAAATATTAATTTTGCTTCAACTCAGAAGAAACATATTGATAAAATAAAAAAAAAATCACTTTAAATCTAATCCTGCAAATAGTATAAATAACCTCAACTAATTAATTCAGATGTTTCTGCCTCCTCTGTGTTTCTCAGCTCCTGGAAATGTAATAAAAGTAGAAGTGGTGACCCAGAACACCAGCAGTTTAACTCTGAAGTGGGACAAAGTTGATGGCATCTCAACATACAGACTGGAATATGAAGAGAATGGAGCTCCTGTCTCTGAGAACATCAATGATGCTGCTGGAGAAACATTTGTTCAACATGTGGTCTCTGGTCTGACTGATGGGACAGAATATAGTTTCTCTCTTTTCACTGAGTTGAATGGAGTCAGCAGCTCTGGATTCTCATTCTCTGCTGCTACAGGTTGGTGATCTGTGAATATTAGTGTGAGAAAAGGTGGACTGAGATCAGTAGCAATGTAGGAATATCAATTAACTGCATAATAAGTCAAATATATTTCACAATAAAACTGGAAACTATCCATGGACAACAACATGAAGACCATGAACATTTGATTTTTCTCTGTTGTTTTAATGTTCACTCTGATCTTTCATATTGATATTATTTTCTGTTATAAACTACCTTCAGCTTTTCATCAGATGTCTCTGTTTCCTCTGTTTTCAGTTCCTGGAAACGTAGGAAATGTTTCAGTGGTGACCCAGAACACCAGCAGCATAACTCTGAGGTGGGACAAAGTTAACAGCAACTCAACATACAGACTGGAATATGAAGTCAATGGAGCTCCTGTCTCTGAGAACATCAATGCTGCTGCTGGAGAAACATTTGTTCAACATGTGGTCTCTGGTCTGACTAATGGGACAGAATATAGTTTCACTCTTTTCACTGAGGCCAATGGACTCAGCAGCTCTGGATTCATATTCTCTGCTGCTACAGGTTGGTGATTTTTTACTATTAACATCAACAAATTTTGAAATAGCTGAATTTACTAATTGATAATTGAATGCAACAGTAAACTTTGTCTTTGTTTTGTAGCTCCAGAAAATGTCAATAATGTTTCAGTGGTGACCCAGAATGACACCAGTATAACTCTGAAGTGGAACAAAGTTGATGGCATCTCAACATACAGACTGGAATATGAAGAGAATGGAGCTCCTGTCTCTGAGAACATCAATGATGCTGCTGGAGAAACATTTGTTCAACATGTGGTCTCTGGTCTGACTGATGGGACAGAATATAGT